ACTTCCAAATAGAATTAATAACAGCAGCTAAGTAGTCCCTCTAGAGTAGATTATTTTTGATAAGCAAAATATGTTTGCTGGGTAAATCAGACGGACTTGCTGAAAATGCTAATTCATTCTCTGCCAGCAGGAGGTGCTTTAAAGCGGGAGAAACAGATGTTTCCCCAGTAACGGCTCACAAACCCTACTTTATCAGGCATATAACATGCAAGATGAAATGAAAATGACATCGAAAATTTTCTGAAGATAGTCTTCCTTCAGAAATACAGTGATATAAAAACACCCGTGCCTCGTTTTGATTTTTAAACGTGCAGTACGTGCTCATGTTTATTCAACGAAGCCTTTTGGAAAATCCGTCAGTTTTGATATTGTGGCGAGCGCCACAAATAAATAAATGTATGGGAAACACATCCCACAGCACAACCACCTGAGCCCAACTTCAGTCTACTCATCACCTTAACTTTAACTGCGTTTGTAGCCGGCGCCATAGCCAGACTGATAAACAAACACAGACCGGAAATTAACTTCGGGCCAGGCGCGTGCGCCCGATGAAACCGTCTATAGGGAAATATAACATAGGGTGAATCACTATACTGAATGGCATTGTTAAAATCCCCAAGGACCAACTAAGCCCTAAACAGCCGCTACCCCCAGCAGAGCATCTGTCCATCCTATCCAGATGAAAACTAGGCCACTTCATGCTGCTCCTGCATAAATGACATGAAGCTTCTCAGATCATCTGTTCTCCACCGTTGTATTCTGTACATCCAAACAAAAGCCCCACATACAAACAACAGAACGTACTGGGACAACAGAGCTCCAACACAAAGGGCAAAGTGCACATCACAGAAAACTTCCTCTCCAGCTCTGCTCATAATGAGAGGAAATACCCTGCCTCTCAGCACTCATAACAGAGCACCAGATCTCCAGAGCCAGGGAGCACAAACAGCCTTTACACAAAGAGCTAGTCATTAGTTATGTTTGAAACGGTACAGTCTTCAAAGGTACATTACCTGAACATTAGCCTCAGACACTTCGATCTCGGCAGTGTAAATATAATCCACCAGCTTCAAGAGCGTCTGTCCATCAACATCCCTGATCTCCACATGGTGAGCCTTGCTTTCACTCATGTCACCTGGACACATCAAGCACAACACAGAATCAGACACACAAACTCTTAAAAACTGTTCAAATGAGACTTATGAAGAATGAACATCATTTTTTTATTTTTTCCTCTTTATTTATATGTAACATCACTCATGCTGCTGCAAATTCCTTGCAAATAATTAGATGGTCTATCCTCAATTCCGTCATTTACTCGCCCTCATGTTGTTCCAAACCTGTTTTACTTTCTGTGGAGCATAGAAGATATTTTGAAAATCACAGTTTTTTTTTTTTTTTGTTTTGTTTAATTTTTTGGTCAATGGGCAACAAAACTGTTTGGCCACCAACATTCTTCAAAATATCTTCTTTTGTTTTCAGTTTGGAACGACATGACGGTGAGTAAATGATGACAGAATTTCCTCTTTTTAATTTTTTTAATTAGAAGTCATAATTATAGGTCTAAATTAAGTCTCGAGTGCCATGAGGAACATGTGGCTCCCATCAGTGTAAGAAAAGCATTAGGATGTGATGTAGTACCTGTGAACATGGCGCAGAAGTAAGGACTGCAGGACGCTAAAACTACTCTGTGTGCCGGTACCTCCACTTCACCCGCCACCAGCAGAACGTCACAAAGCATCCTCCGACTGCGATTAGAAATAAAACATAAAAATAAATATCTAGACAAGTAGCGTTTTCCCAAAAGTATTGTAAGCCCACACAGAGATCATAGAAACCATTGGTGCCAACAAATCTCTATGATCTACTTAAGACTTCCGATGCTTTTGGAGAACGCAGGCCAGAAATATCTTGGATAAGCAGACACGCTAACACGGTTGATAATTAACTTCAGGTCAAGTCAGATTTAGTTGTACGGTGCTTTTCACAATACACATTGTTCCAAAGCAGCATTGCAGAAAATCATGATTTTTTTATGTTTATAATATCTTAATATCTTCATGCCTTATAGTTGCATTAAGCAATTCGCATTAAGTCGAGCAGCTGAGAAATGCTATATAGTACATATCACCGTATGCAAGTATACTGCATGTATGCGGATAAAGTTGGATATACTTATATATATCCAACTTTATGTAAAGAACTGGGTGATTGTTACATTTTGCAACAAAATTGTATTTATTTATATTTTAAAATGAAAACTCTATTCCATATCAGTTCACCTCAAAATGTTAGGGGGATGTGTCCAGTGTTGCCATTTTGGGGATTTTGTCGCCAAATTTAGCAGCGATTTTTTTATTTTTTACTTCGCCACACCCTGCCATAGGCCCGTGACCTCTCACGTTTGCTCTCAATCATGCCAACAAGTCTGCGCAGTGAACACACCAGTATGCCACGCCTGCCATGACGCACACCATCATTTCATTATAAGCATCAATCAAGATGCCGGAGAAAAAAATGAACATCTTGTTTTAACCAGTTATACCACAATTCATGCACAGTCATGTCAACCAGATACTGAGAGAGAGAGACAGTGCATCATCGTGTCATGTGCAGTGTTGGGGAAAGTTACTTTTAAAAGTAATGCATTACAATATTGCGTTACTCCATAAAAAAGTAACTAATTACGTTACTTAGTTACTTTTTATTGAAAGTAATGTGCTATATTACTTTTGCATTACTTTTTAAGCTGGACAGGGCTTGCTTGTTTGTTTTTAAAATAAAAAAGTTATATTTTTGGCAAATATAAAAGCCTTTTCACACCAAAAGTGAAATGAATAAGCCTCAGGCTGAAGGGAAAGTAAATTTACGTCCGTACAGTAGAACGCAGAAGACGACATTTCAACACACTTCAGCAATAAAAAAAACACAAATGTTTGTCTAGAGTAATTTTGATTATTAGTACGCTTGAACTGAATCATCGAAGGTCAGACGCAAATAAAATGAGATTAAATGCATAAAGGATATTTGTGTTGTTTAACATTTCATTATTCCAGGTTTGCGTCATATTCTGAGTTGCATTCTTTTTATTAATTTTTGAGGAATACTGAATCTGTGTTTTTTTTGTGAGTGAGATGAATTAATGCATATTCATATTTATTTTTGAACTACAGTAACATCTGATTTCTCTCAACATAACAATCTCAACAATAAATTGGAGAAAAAAAAGTAACTTGCATTACTTATCCGAAAAAGTAACTTAAAAAGTTGTAAATTAAAAAGTAATGCGTTACTTTACTAGTTACTTGAAAAAAGTAATCTGATTACGTAACTCGCGTTACTTGTAATGAGTTACCCCCAACACTGATCATGTGTGCTGCTGGGATGCAGTATTTTGCACTTATTTTGTAGTAATAGAGTGTGTTGACTGAGATAAGTTTGTATGAATAAAGTTTTTGTTTTTGGAGAATCATAATATCTCTTATCTGTTGTATTTGAGCAGGACAGGGATGCACTTTGGTGACACATAAAACAAATTCCCAACATTATGTGTCTTTTGTGTCTTTCCGTCATGTTTGATGTGCTTGCAGATCACAAGCATTTCCTAATTTCACTTCAGGATTTTTATATTTTTTATACTTTTATCATTTGTAAAGTATATATACATATATATATATATATATTTCCCTTTACCTTTACCAAATGTACCTGTATTTACTTTGTTTTCATATTTGGCGACTTTTTGTGAAAAATGGAGACTTTTGAGGGTGGTTCTAGAGATTTTCTGAGGGAGGGGTTTGGCAACACTGGATGTGTCTCTCCGTCAGTGTCTATAGAGGATACCTAAATAAGTTGCATCAGTTTACCAACCTTCTCAAGTCATTCATGAGCCGAAAGGCTTTCCTCATGTGTGTGAGACTGAAGGTGTGCAGCCCTGGGTCTTTGGCATCTTCCTGTGAGTCCAAACTAGGCAGAGGACAAGCGACTCCAAATCTAATGAATAAATCAAAGAGATCTGTGCAACTAACATGTTTAATAATAATTAAAAAAAATTGTTTAATCAAAACATGTTAAATGTTTTAACCATAATGCTCGAAACACAAACTAACTTAACACTAGTACTAGTTTTGCATGACAGTTCTGCACCTACAATCTGGGGTTTGTGGAGCACTTCAGCGGATCGATCAGGAATCAGTTAAAGTTACTGCACAAAACGATTAGCACGAGATTATTTTGAACCTGCACTGCTGGCCTGCTAATGCAGCATTATTTCATATATAAATAATCGTAAACACCTTCGTAAATGTGTGAAGTATGATGTTAACATGTTAAAATACAGACTTTAAGTGAATACACAACAGACCGCTAGCAATTTAGCCGCTACAAATAGTACTAATAGCAAGTCAGAATGCGTTTAGTTCGTTTTACGGTTCAAATGACAGCTTTATCTATTACTGGTCACGTCGGTTTCCTCTTTACCAAAACACACATGTTGTTAGTTAACTGCATCTTTTTCCCCTCACAGCACACACTTACCCGTCACAGTCCATGGTTTGAGCAGATCGCGCTAGGTATACGGCTAGTTAGCTTGCTACATCATTTTCGGCAGGTTTTGTAAGTCTCAGGCATTCCGTTTATTGACGTCTGCGTTCGTTTAAAGCCTCCAGCTGAGCGTTTTCATCGGGCTGTTTCGTGCTCAGTGCGGTCTCTCGTGAGATGTTTCTCTCGTTGTTTACCTGACAGGTTAGCAGCTCGCGGACTTTTACACCCGAGAACGTCGTAACGGTCTTCCATCATCAGCGCGTCGCCTAGCAACAGTGACTCAATCGGTCACTCTCCAGAACACAATCACGCTAACATGCTTCCGTGGCCCTTATCAGCTGTATGAAAGTTAATCATTTATTGTGTTATAGCGTAAACGTTACTCATTACTTATCTTTTCTCCATCCTGTGTAACACCACTTGATGCATTCAAACATTAATAACAGACTCAAAAGATATCCAGTTAATTTTTTTTATTGAATTCATCAGACATTCGACGGAATGTTTATTCGTGTTCATGTGCACTTTGCCATTATGCATTTGATTCAGCTCCAGTCAAAGGAACCGAATGCAGTCGCCCTCCGAGTACCATTATCAGGGCATCATCTTGGCACCAGGTCTGTAAAAACAAACAGAAGACACATATAATACTTTGATGAGAGCCATCCCAGTAGGCTTAACCCTAAAATGTTAGCCATGTGAATCAAAAATGGCCTTAGATTCAGTAAAGGCAACAGTGTTTATCCGGCTTTACGTTTGGGTGGTATTAGGGTTGCAAAGGGGTGGAAACTTTCCAAAAATCCCTGGAATATTCCAAAACATCCTGGAAATTTTCCAAAATTGCAAAGGGGTGGTAAACTTCCTAAAATCCCTGGAATATTCCAAAACATCCTGGAAATTTTCCAAAATTGCAAAGGGGTGGTAAACTTCCTAAAATCCCTGGAATATTCCAAAAAATCCTGGAAATTTTCCACCTTTTTGCAACCCTAGGTGGTATCAATATTTTAGATTTGAAATGCAATAGACATATTCCCAAAATATTTCAGACAAAGAGAATGACTACTCCAAGAGGGAAATTCTACTGGGGTTCCTTTACAACAAATATAAATTGGAGAAAGGCTTAGCTTTTGCCAAGTACATTTTGTACATCTAACAAGGTTAAGGAGATTCATTATTAAATCCTTCATAAAAATGTATCCTGTTAATTTGTCCATTTCTAAATATTCTGAAGTTGATGAGTCTTGCTCATTTTGTGGTTCTGAGGAAACAGCTGCCCATTTGTTTTTTTGATTATAGTATTACCAACTAATTATGGGTTGATTTAAGCGCTTATGTATCTAAACTTACAGATGTGACCCATACTTTCCTCAAAGATGTTATTTTTTATTATGAAAGCTATTATCTGATGAATATGTTGTTAATTTTCTTGTATCGAATGTAACATTTTTCATTCATAAGCAAAAATGGCTAAAAATCTCCTTTTTCTTGCTGAACTTGATTCTCTCGTTTCATCTCTTAGACTTACAAATAACAAAGAGTGGCAAATTTTTGATGCATTATAACAACTTTTCTAAAATGATGTAATTTTATTTTTGTACTTTTAATATAGATAATATCATAAATTGACGTACGCAAATACAGAATATTTGTTTTCGGTCCTTTTCTGTCCTCTTTACAGGAATATATTCATGTATGTTTCTACAAGTTTTGTAATAAAACAAACAGAAGACACATTTTCCAGCGACGTGAGCAAATCTCAGTGATAAGGCCCACAAAAAGACCATGATGCTTGACAAACCATGGTAAACTTAAAAGGAGAACGTAATTAGGGTTGCACGATTATGACAAAAATCATAATTGTCCATTCTTCCCTTGAAATAATAATTGTGATTATTAAACTACGATTATCGCAATTTACATTGTTTTGAATAGCGTTATACTATTGTTTGAAAAAATGCACGGCATATTTTTAGATGAAAATAAACGAGCTGAAAACACTAACTGAAAAACGTATTGCTTTTCTAGAGTATTATGCCTCATGTCAACTATACATTGGATCGGTTTATTCTTTAAATAGAAACTACAAATAAGCACAGTATAATAATAATGTTAAACTAAATTAAAACAATGGAAAAACCCTTAAGATAACCTGTAGAAAGAAAAAAGCATCTAGAAATCTTAAGCACCTAGAATACTGTAAGTGGTAGGGATGTAACGATTAACCGCGAGCCGGTTGAAAATCGATTCAAATATGTGACGATTCAAATCGGTTGAGATGCTAAACAAATCACGATTCAGTTAGGTGTAGGAGTTTATATGAATGTATGTCTGAGGGGAACCTACTGAGTTTAGAAAAGTTTAGATGGTATTTTCTTTTCCTCTTGCCTCTGTATAATGCGTATTAAAGTTCATAAGTGCAGCGCTGCTTTGTTTACAGCGGAAACCAAGGAAAGGGTTTAAGCGTCACCTGCTGGCAGAGAGAGCATCTGCGTCTCATTCAGCTCATCTGCTGCTTCTGTTTCATGCAGATATTTGCATGTATAGTTTCACAAAACTGAAGTCAAACCATTCTGTTTTTGCTTCAAATTGAGAAATTATACAATCTAATTTAGATTAAAAACTGCTGATGTTGCGTGTATGCAGCATCTTTGTTTGGATCATGATTAAAATTCAGTGGTTGCCTCTAATTTTAAAAGGAAAGAGCACAGACATAGCCTTAGTTTGTTTATATGAAGAGATTTATTTGAGTTGTGTAACTTATTTATTTGATTTGGGACTTGTTTTAAAATTTCAATGTTGTTTTGTTATTTACATTATATTTAAATTTTGTCATTTAGCAGACACTTTTATCCAAAGCGACTAAAAAAAATGAGGACAATAGAAGCAATCAAAACCAACAAAAGAGCAATAATATGCAATTGCTATATTAGTATATTATTATAGTGTTATATTTCAATTTCACAAAGAAATGTGCAGCATTTTGTCCAAGCAATAATAAAAAGGCACATTTAATTTATAATTTGTCTTAAATCTCATTTTGTTAAAAAAAATAAATAATTGTGAATCTAATCGTGAAATCAAAATCGTGAATCGAATCGTGAGTTGAGTGAATCGTTACATCCCTAGTAAGTGGACTTTGTACGATTAATTGTCACTTAAGCCCTATATGTAATCGAAATATTTTGATTTCAAATCACTGTAATGCAAGACATTCATTGTCAGGGCTTAACATACAAAATCTTACCATGGGCATCTTGTCTCTCAGAGGTCTCTGGGAATCTGGCATATGCATTCATATGCAAACTCTGCTAGAACGCAAAGACGGGAAAAAAGGAAATTCTGTAAATACAATTGGTGTGACTTACTGTACAACACAGATTTAAAAAAAGAACCTGCTTACCAAACTCACTAGAGTGCTTTCTTCATCTTTCAGAGCATCTGGATTCACAGCCGCAGCAGAGGTTCATCAAGCGGCCGCGCATAGAAGTGAGATTTTATTTAAATCCTTCCATTGCGTTCTCTCTGTGGAAAAAGAAGACAGATGCAGAAGCATGTAAGCGTCAAGTCAACAAGCGGTGTCCTGAAACATGTCTAGCTACACAACCCCTTCAGATTTACACACTGTGCCGTTAAGAAGGGTCTATGTAGGAGGTGTGCTTTGAAAATGACAGCACTTTTGAAAAGGCCAATGCCAAGAGGTTGTACAGTTGCATTTTCACTAGTCTCACTCGATTATCAACAAAACCCACTGCCCTCTTAGATTGCCAGAAATGTAGGACAAAACACCGAGATGAGGAGGGGAGGGGGATTGATAAGATGTAAGGTAAATAACTGAAAGCACAAACCTTGCTTAATAAATGCTGATCTCCTTTGCATTTGATGTCATTAATATCTGGAACTAATGCGTCAAGTATACAGGAACTATAAGCTCCGTTCTCCGGTTTGACCTTAAACTGGAAATCGGCTAAAATATTGGATTAAGACATAACTACATAGACCACAATCACCACATAGAACTACAGAGCATGTTCTAATTTCCACTTTTCCTCTATGTTACATGGTCACCGCCAGTTAAAGCTATTCACAGCTAGAATTTAGGAAATGCTGAAATAAAGTTGCATGCACGCTTTACGTTAACGACTCACAAATACCTGATTTCGTTCCAGGTGGATCCAAAGTAGGTTAAAGACACACCCGATGTAATGTCTGGTGTATAAAGCATTTCTACAAACCTGGTGCGTTTATCCTATGGATTTTCAGCTGGGTTTCTACATCTCTGGAGTAGCCCTGGAGAATCCAATGACGTAGTAGTGGACACAGCTAAGGTATAGATCCGTCTTATTTGATCACTAAAAGTATTGGAACAAAGCTCTAAACATATTTTAAGAATAAAGACAACATATGGTTGGGAAAATATTGACATCCCCACATGTCTGATGCAAAGAAATGTCATTAATATGGAGCACTAGAGCCAATGCCTGATGACGGCAAAGGCTGGCCTCCAGTTTTACACGGGCCTCAGATGCGACCCAATAAATCTCAGCTGGCCATAAACCATACTGGCTACGGAATAATGACTTTTATTAACAGAAATACATACAGTTCAGTTGTATCTGAAATAAACAATATTCAATAGGTTATTCCGTTGAAGCAGTAATACAATGAGACAAGAGCATTTAAGTCCTTTACTAAATGTTTAAACGGTAGAAAAACAACTCAAATCGGTCTTCAGAGTCCCGACGAAAAGGTTCGTTGTAACACCAATGACAATATTTCCATAATGTGCTTGAACTATTTAACAAATGTCACTAATTGGGAGGAGACACACGTTAGTCACTATATTAATGGATGTTGAGGGCCGTTTTAGTGAGCCTGAAACTAGTTCTTTAACTTGCTACGGTTTTGAGACGCCAAAGAAATGTCTGTTTATTCCAACACGTTTCATATGTTAGGACGAACAGCTTCTAGTTGCCATCGAGCCTAATTAAAGAAAAGTTCAATCTTTCATTGGTTGGCGGCAGACTCTGCAGCAAATTGAGTTCAACAGTGTCCACTTTTTCAGCTGCCTTAATTTTCTGGAGTATTTTCCCCATTCATTTTTCAAAAGTAAAGAGTTATTCCCTCAATCAGCTATGCGTTTTATTTGAAACAAAATGGGTGCACGATGAAAAGTACTGCAATCCCAAGCAGCATTGCGAATGACGGATTAAACTATTGATTTAAAGATGTTGAGTGTGTATATCGAAACAATTTTACGTTTATTGCAAAATAAGCAAATATATACAAAATATTACATCATGCGGCATGCTTCATGGGAGTGGGTGGGCACTAACATGTTTTAAGATTTTTTTTGAAGAATCATTGTTAAAATGATTTAAAACAATGCCACTGACGGCTTCAACAAATGCATATAACATCCATTAACCTCATAGCTTACAGTAGGTCTTGTCTTATGAAGACAACGAATGGGATTTTTACTTCAGGTACTGATGCACTCAACAGATCATGTAATATGCAAATCATGCCTGCTGCCAGCCAATGAAGTTTTGAATCTCTACAGGGGTTCACTGTGATTGGCTCTCAATCAAAACCAAATTTAAATGTAGGGCTGCAAAACGATTAATCGCATACAAAATAAACGTGTTTACAAACTGCGTGTGTGCACGGTGTATATTTATTACGGATATATAAATACACAGTCATGTATACTTCATATAGTATATTTATATAATCTAAAAAAATTCCCTTGATGTATACACGTGTGTATTTATATATACATAACAAACATAAAATATGTAAACAAATGCGATTAATCGTTTTGCAACCCTATAATGTATTCAAAAAAGAACACACACAATAAAAATACAATACATATACTAAAAGTAGGAAAACGCATGCATACAATAATTAACAAGCAAAAAATACTACTCTTAACTTAACCCCAAAGCACAAAAAACGTGAGTAACAGTTTCGCGAACAAGTAGCCTGCCAAGACACCACTGGCCAGTCTTATAATAAGTAGAGATCCGGAGTAGTAGTCCTATGTCTTGCTGGGGAAAAAAACTCCCTAGTACTTCAGGGAAAAGAGCAAAAGGTGTGTAGTAGTAGCAGTAACAGCTGTGAGATGTTGAGTAAAGTCGGATAGGTGAGCCCTAACGTTACCTATGATCTGCTAGGCTGGATAAAGTGGTGAACTCCTGAATGGAGCTCGAGCGTTTCAGTCAATGCCACGCCTCATTAAGGTGGCTCAATCTGGCACACCACTGGCCAAGACACCACTGGCCAGTCTTATAATAAGTAGAGATCCGGAGTAGTAGTCCTATGTCTTGCTGGGGAAAAAAACTCCCTAGTACTTCAGGGAAAAGAGCAAAAGGTGTGTAGTAGTAGCAGTAACAGCTGTGAGATGTTGAGTAAAGTCGGATAGGTGAGCCCTAACGTTACCTATGATCTGCTAGGCTGGATAAAGTGGTGAACTCCTGAATGGAGCTCGAGCGTTTCAGTCAATGCCACGCCTCATTAAGGTGGCTCAATCTGGCTACTTAGCTGAAGATAATGTGTGGCCAAAACTGTGATGTGGGCTGGGGAAGGAGCTGCTCTTAATTTGTGACCTAATATACGCTCCTAATACGAGCCTCCGTAACCCCCCCTGCCGTAACCACCACCACCACCTCCTCCTCGGGAGTAAGGAGCGCTGCTTCTGCCCGAGTAATTACCTTTCATTGGGCCATAACCAGAGGACTGCTGGCCATAGCCGCTGCCAAAGTCATTGTAGCCGTTACCACCGCCGTAGCCCTCCATTTGGTCCCCGTAGCCTCCCCCATACCCGCCACCGTAGCCGTCATTGCCTCCATAGCCGCCGCCGCCGCTGTAGTTACCGTACCCGCCGCCGCGCCCGCCGTAGCCGTTCTGCGGTCTTCCCATCCCCCTTCCGCGGCCGCCGCGGCCACCGCGACTACCGGCGGCCTGCATCTCCTGCTTGGTCAGGGCTTTCTTCACCTCCACTTTATGCCCGTTAATAACGTGGTACTTGAGCACCACGGCTTTATCGGCCGAGTCGTTGTCTTCAAAATACACGAAGCCGAAGCCCCGCTTCTTGCCGGTCTCTTTGTCCGTGATCACCTCCGCCTTCTCCACCGCGCCGAACTGGGAGAAGCAGTCGAGGAGGTGATCCTCCTCGATATCGTCTTTAAGCCCGCCGATGAATATCTTCTTCACCTTCGCGAGGGCCTCGGGTTTGCCCGCGTCTTCCCGGGCCACGGCCCGCTTCAGCTCGACGTTGTTACCGTCCAGAACGTGCGGGCGGGCCGCCATGGCCGAGTCCGCCTCCTCGGGGCTCGAGTAGGTCACGAAACCGAAACAACGCGAGCGCTTCAGCTGCTGGTTCTGCACAACCACGCAGTCCGTGAGACTCCCGTATTGCTCGAAATGATTTCGCAGCCCGTCGTCGGTGGTCTGGACGTTGAGGCCACCGACAAACAGCTTGCACAGTTGACTTTCCATTTGAGCCGTCATCTTCGCAACCGATTTTCCGCTGGGTTGATGTAAAATGGCGGTGAAATATAAATGGCGGCGGCGGTGGTGCGGACGGATGATGTCATGTAAACGTAACCACGCCCACCGCGGTGAGATCAACGGGTGCAGTGTTGCCAAGTCTGCGGGTTTCCCGCGGAATTGGGCTACTAAAACACTACAGTAATATATAGTAAATAAATACTGTAGTGTTTTTGAACCATACTATAGTAAAGTACTTCAGTTAATTTGTTGTGGTAATTCTATAGTTGCTGTGCTAATATAACAACTATAGTAATATAAACAAATTACTTTACCCATTAACCTGCGTGTACCTAGTGTTCTACAACTATAGGGTGTATTATACTACAATACACTACCGTTTATTGTAGTAAAAACTAAAGTGTACTACAGTATTTATTACAGTTTATCAGTTCACTATAGTTAATACTACAGTATGCTATAGCATTCATTAACAACATGTTGTAAATACTATAATATATACAGTGTAATATAGTATGGTCCAAAACACTATTTACTATATTTACTATAGTATTTTTTCATGTGGGTATTGCCGCGGTTTGTTTTTCACGTCAACTGGACTTTGTGATCAGTGCCAAATACCTGAGAATGTAGAACATGTTCTTGTGTATTGCACAAAATGTGAAATTTAATGGATGATCTCCGTAAAAGACATGGCGGAAATGGGATTAACTGGACGTGGATCAAAGACATAGTGGAATGCAGTAGGAGCGGACAAGGAATTAAATATTTGATTAGTTTTTTGACTAAAACGGGACTAATATCAAGAATGTGAAAAAACCAAGATGCCGTACATGGGAAGTACACTCTAAAAAATACTGGGTTGTTTCAACCCAATGTTGGGTCAAATATGGACTAACCCAATTGTTGGGTTAAAAAGCTAATTTAAAAATTTAACCAAAATTTAACCCAACAGTTGGGTTAGTCCATATTTGACCCAACATTGGGTTGAAACAACCCAGCATTTTTTAGAGTGTAGCTAGCTCCAGAAGATGGCGGTAATGCAAGAAGACATAGTGGAATGCAGTAGGAGCGGACAAGGAATTAAATATTTGATGAGTTTTTTTACTAAAACGGGACTAATATCAAGAATGTGAAAAAACCAAGATGCCGTACATGGGAAGTACACTCTAAAAAATGCTGGGTTGTTTCAACCCAATGTTGGGTCAAATATGGACTAACCCAATTGTTGGGTTAAAAAGCTAATTTAAAAATTTAACCAAAATTTAACCCAACAGTTGGGTTAGTCCATATTTGACCCAACATTGGGTTGAAACAACCCAGTATTTTTTAGAGTGTAGCTAGCTCCAGAAGATGGCGGTAATGCAAGACCAAGGATGCAAGCTGCTATTAAAACCAAAAGAAGAATACGTTTTTCAATGTCCGAAGCGACCGCAATATCGTCATATAATGCTATACGAATTTTACCAGGGGAACCTCGTCAAAAAACATGTATTTTCCCCGCGGAACGCGATTTTTACAGAGGGCCCCCTCAAAACGCAATTGGGCTGGTTTGGCGGGCTTTTGTTGTGAACACCTGGCAACCCTGAGTTTGAGTTATTTTGATTACTTTAGTAGTACTAAATTAGTACTATTGTTTGTATTTCTGTAGTGGACCCTTTTCACAAGACTGTGATGACGCATTTAACGGTCATCAGCATCGTAAATCCTCAAAGGTTTTTCATATTTGTATTTTTTTAAAAATTGATGTATGTTTATAACACTATTCTTTGTATTATATCACCGTTGCATCAAATTACAAAAAACATTTAACGCTAATGCGAGGGTGTTTCTAATGCAGCGTCTATGGGAGGGACGGTACATTTAACATCGTTCTCTCTTCTGACCGCCGATATCAGTCTCTCGCAATTTTTTTCCTTTTATTGAAAGTCATGAAAACACTATCGTGGACTTTTTCTTTTGCTATTTGAGCAACTGGGAATGCAAAAAATATATATTTGTGGTACTCTCCCATTCACTGCTCTTCAAGTTAACCCAACTATGACGACTTCCGCTGCTGAGAAACCCGGAAATGTGAAAAAGGGTCCATATATGTGACCCTGGAGCACAAAACCAGTCTTAGGTAGCACGGGTAAATGTGGAGGGTTTCATTGCTGATAATATTTTTAAAACATTTTCCTTATCTTATAAACATGTGATTTTGGGTTATTATATCAAGCATCGCTCTTTAAAGGTTTTATTATACATTTTATTTTATTTTTATGTAAATTTCACATTCATAAATGCAAGTTTACAAAAGGCAGACCTCTTTTTATGGTGCTTGGAAAAGAGACATTTAACATCGTTCTCTCTTCTGACCGCCGATATCAGTCTCGTTATCAATTTTTTTCCTTTTATTGAAAGTCATGAAAACACTATCGTGGACTTTTTCTTTTGCTATTTGAGCAACTGGGAATGCAAAAAATATATATTTGTGGTACTCTCCCATTCACTGCTCTTCAAGTTAACCCAACTATGACGACTTCCGCTGCTGAGAAACCCGGAAATGTGAAAAAGGGTCCATATATGTGACCCTGGAGCACAAAACCAGTCTTAGGTAGCACGGGTAAATGTGGAGGGTTTCATTGCTGATAATATTTTTAAAACATTTTCCTTATCTTATAAACATGTGATTTTGGGTTATTATATCAAGCATCGCTCTTTAAAGGTTTTATTATACATTTTATTTTATTTTTATGTAAATTTCACATTCATAAATGCAAGTTTACAAAAGGCAGACCTCTTTTTATGGTGCTTGGAAAAGAGATTGAAATGTTTGTAGATGTGATGTCAAAATCTACAAATAGTAAAGCAATTAAAACGATTAATATATGCTCCTCCTTTAACATTTTCACATAATATAATAAAAACAATAATAATAATAAATAATGGTGCTGACCTGCAAAGTATATTGTGACCATGGAGCACAAAAGCAGTGTTAAGTCGCTGGGGTATATTTGTAGCAATAGCCAACATTACATTGTATGGGTCAAAATTATAGATTTTTCATTTATGCCAAAAATCATTAGGATATTAAGTAAAGATCATGTTCCATGAAGATATTTTGTACATGTCCTACCGTAATCAAAACTTAATTTTTGATTAGTAATATGCATTGCTAAAAACTTAATTTGGACAACTTTAAAGGTGATTTTCTCAATATTTAGATTTTTTTGCACCCTCAGATTCCAGATTTTCACATAGTTGTATCTCAGCCAAATATTGTCCTGTCCTAACAAACCATACATCAATGGAAAGCTTATTTATTCAGCTTTCAGATGATGTATAAATCTCAATTTCATAAAACTGACCCTTATGACTGGTTTTGTGGTCCAGGGTCACATTTATTGTGTACAGTTTTGCAGAAACTTGAGTCTGGCTAGCTTTCATCTGCTATGACGGATCAAACATTTCAAAAAGGAGAGCTAGTGCGCATGCGCAGTGAAGACAACAACAGCCCACTACAGCAAAACAATGGCGACTGCCGTGGAGAATATCGTTAAAGTGTGAGTACATGTAGTTTTTAAACTCTTTGAAGGAGTATCCGTGTGATATTCTCGATGTGTGGCTTGTTCGGGACGGGTTTATTGTCAACAGTAAGGTTGAAGCATTGGGGTGACGTTTGGCTAATAATGAAAATCTGCACCTCGTTCATTCATCGTTTTCTGACATCAAAGCGCTACATACAGCCATGTGTGCTCTTTTATCTGCTGCACTAACCAGTCACTAGCTCTTTTGCCTTCTTGTTGTGTTTTCTTGTCCAACTTTCAAAAAACAAAAACAAAAAAAAAGTCTATATTAGTGCTTCTTTTATACTGGCAAAAAATAGTACACCTCATTAGGGTCCATTGATGTCCATTGTTTGCATGTGTGACCCTACACAGGAGTGCAGGTTCAGCATCAGCCCAATACACTTATTCCATTCTCAGTCCGTCCTACTGCTGCTAACATATGATTTCTCTTTAAGGTACCGCACCGGGACAGCTGTACACATACCCTGCTCGCCGATGGAGGAAGAAGAGAAGAGCTCACCCACCAGAAGACCCTCCTCTGGCTTTTCCTCCACTCAAAGCTGGTATCTGTTATAGCATAGCCTGTTTGTAATGCTTAACATTATCTATTTCTATTTACCCGTTCTTGTGTTTAAATCTATAACACAATTTTTGCTACACAAATTTCTAAAGCCTCTGAAAACCATACACAATCTACTACATGGCTTCCTTTTATTTAGTAAATGTATTAATAACTTATATATTATTAGTAATATTTCAAGATGAACACTTACTGGATTGAAGCAACTTGGGTTTAATTGATTATGCGTGCATAATTATTTTTAGAAAAATCATGTTAAAATGTGAGCACCATATATTAGGCTTTTGGGTAACGTTTATTTGTTCATCTCTCAGTCATGTCTTTATTGCATTGCATTACATTTTTAATAATGAAAACTACAGAGCTTTGATCATAAAACTGAGCATTTAAATATCATCCGTATTAAAACATTTTTGGGAGGTATAAATTGAAAACTGATATTTATATGCATTTGTTATAAATATCTCACTGATTTACGTTACAAACTCAAAATTTCATATTCTTCTACATTATACTATATGAGCCATAAAAGCCTGGTGTATCAAATGTGATACTCAACATAAAACACATTTGTGACACTGGAGCACAAAACCAGTCATATTTGTAGCAATAGCCAACAATACATTGTATGGGTCAAAATGATCGATTTTTCTTTTATGCCAAAAATCATTAGGATATTAAGTAAAGATTATGTTCCATGAAGATATTTTGTAAATTTCCTACTGTAAATATATCAAAACTTAATTTTTGATTAGTAATATGCATTGCTAAGAACTTCATTTGGACAACTTTAAAGACGATTTTCTCAATATTTTGATTTTTTTGCACCCTCAGATTCCAGATTTTCAAATAGTTGTATCTCAGCCAAATATTGTCCGATCCTAACAAACCATACATCAATGGAAAGC